CAAATATGGACTGTTTAAACAAGACCCAAGAGCACTTAGCAAATATGTTTCTCCTCCTCAAGTTTATTTACATATTTAGCCTACTGGGGATCTCTTTTGCAATGATGGGATAGCTTAGCTTTAAAATAAGGCATTAACAAGAGAACTAAGAAAGAAAAGAATACAAGAAGTTCAACACTTCTGGCTGTTAAATGAATTGATCCTGCTGATATGAATTGTGTGTGTAACCAATGTCTGATAGCTTTTTCATCTGTGCTATAGACCTGTGGTAGATGTCACAAACTATATATAGTAAATGGTCACACAGGCCCCTTTTACACAGCCTCTTCAAGGCGAGAATGCTTTGCCATCATCATTCTGTAGGTATCATCTGTGAATAGAGAGAACGGAGTCGTCTCGCCTTAAGTATTATGTGTGCAACCAGGCCAGCCCATATAGACATCTGTGAAGCTGTTACAAATAAAGGACTGTGTGTAACGTTATCAATTTACATGTCAAACACATTAATTGTTCGACCTCTTACTGTGCATTCACACCAAAAGCGTCATGAGTGCCAGCGGTGAATTTCACCGGCTCATACAGCTCCGGGAGAACCCAGACCTCCATACCCGAATCCCGGTCTGCAATTGGCTGCTGCTTCAGCAGCGGCGCTGCTCATTTGCATAAAGTTCAGCTTCTCTCAACTTCTACTTGACGCTCTGGTCGCTGGCATCGCAAAAATGAATGGCTGCCAGCCGCTTATGACGCTCATGATGCTTTTGGTGTGAATGCACAGTTACCAGTAACTGTGTTCAACAACGGTTTGGAGAACAATGGAGTGCCACCCCTTACTATTATAGTAGGCTGGTGTGTCTTCATGATGGCACTGGCACACATTGGATATTCTAGTTCGGTAAATCTGTCCATTGTCCTCTGAAGGTGTCCACCATTCAATAGATCAACATATTGTTTAGAAAGGGCCCTCTCCAATGGTGCCGTAACTTGGTGTACCAATACACACATAGTGGTGACACTGATACAAAAAATACAGCTAATGGATTGATTTTCATGTGGGGTAGCATTCCACTCCAAAGCAATGGCGAGTTGAAGCCACGGTTAAAGAGGCTGTAGACAGTTTGTTGCCCTGCATCTCAGGTGTGGCTTGAAGTTCCAATACAAAGTCAAGTGTTCAACAACGTGCAAAAATGACTGTGCCACTTATCTTCATCATAACTGTTGGGGACATTCAGCAGAAAATGGGCCTGTGTGGTCTCTCTCTTTGTCCTCCACATTCTTCTTTAGGAGACCAGTGACTGAAAGGAACCAAACGTGACAGAATCTTGGTACATATTTGGTCAGCACCGCTTAGTTTTACCGTTTGATCATGTTTTTTTCAGCCTCCATTTTTACACTACCAAAAAAAGTACGGCACCAGCTTCCTGTCCACAAATTCTCATATCACAGCTTAACAGGGCACTAAAACATACTTCTAAAGACATTTTAGGTGAGAGATGGGCAGCACAGTAACAGAATCTTGGTTTATATCTGATCAGCGCTGCCTAGTTTTACTGTTTTACCTGAGTTTGGTCTGAGTTTGATAGCGAAAGGGTGGGGTTTTTCTCTTGATCCCCATCTATAGTATTTGTGTCTGTGGTGTTGAGCATACAAAAATGTTAAAGTACAATCTTTACTTGGGAAAAACAGCCCTAGAGCCAGCGAAAATCTGCTGTGGATTTAAGCTGAGAGATAAGCAGGGAGATCAAGGTGCTGGTAAGATGGAGGAAAGTTCACCAAAGTTCATTTACAGATACTACCCACATTGATATGATACAAAGCTGGTTGAAAATTAGCAAAGTATCCCTTTAAAGACTTCATAGCCAAGCTGTTTGTTACCAGCTGGCAAAATCATGTAGTTGATAGTGGCTTAAAAAACATTCATGTAGGTTTTGCCATCCTTTAACCTCTGAGCTACAAACTTCTGAGCTGAAATGCAGTTTCACTTTTACATAACTGCAGACAGATTTGACTGATTCAGTGCACATACTTTAAATAAACACACTGGATTCCTCACCTTCCCCTCTGAACACCCCTCAGTGCTTTAATACACCACTGAGAGCTTGTCACATGCAACTGAAACATTTACACTGCACCTGTAACAACGACTTTGCACTTCCCTTACAAGCCTGACTTGTATCGTCTTGAGAGAATCACAGCTTTCATTATATGTCCACACTATCATCAAGCAGACATAGTGACTGACTGCTTCACCACTGTTTAGCAGCCACCTAGCATGGTTTACATCTTGTGTTATGCCATAAACATCTTGAAACAAGCACTCAAAACAAGGGGTGCCTGGACTTTTGTTTGGATTTCAGGAGGGACTCTGTTTTGTCTCCGGCGGTGTTCCTCAGCAGCCAGCCTCTGAGGAGCAACACTGTATTATGAATAGTGTTCCTGGTTATCAAACAGACAATACATCATTGACTTCACTTCCAGTTAGAAAAAGAGATTGAAAGATTAATCCAAAGATAGATAGATGGAGGAATTAAATTACAAAGGGGCCTGCAAGTGAATGATATTATCTATGTAAATAGTAGAAGCACTGTTTATTATCATTTGTCTTTCTCCTGTAACTTTTATTTCCAGTAAAATGCAGCCCTGTATTTCAGTAAGTGCATCCATATTGGACAATTCTGCACCTTTCAGTTTATGCCCAATGCCAACACAGGCGGTAGTGTGCCCTACATGGTGCAAGGTGAAAGTAAAGATGGGAGCAGCAGGGGACCAGCATTCAAATCCTGTTTCAAACCCTGCAAATAATGTTTGCATTTTTATTAACCATAATGGTTTTCCTGTACTTTAACACCCCAGGCATGAATTTAAATATTGAGGATGTTGTCTGGTTGGTAAAATAATGAAACGTACCACTTTAACTAATGGCAACTAATTTTTCTAATGGTATTTAATTTATATGGTATTTTGAATGCAAGTTAACGGTGAAAGTCGTGGTCTAAAATTATCTTTATTAGCATATTGTATTTGTGATTATAATTAATAAAAAGGTTTACTGTCATACAAAACATCCGGTAATTTTAACCTTGTTAATGGCGGGCAATAATATCAAACTATGAAAACATTCTGAACACCTTAATTAGGGATTAAGAGATTAGTTTTAAGGCATCTGCTCAGAGAGTCCTGTTGTACGGCCAGAAAATCCAACATTTCTCAGAATTTTAGTTTAATTTAACTAACTTATCATTCGCAGTGCTGTTTAGTGTCAGTAAAACCATGTCTTAAAGAAAATGTAGGCATTGTATGTTTCTGCAAACCACAAATTTGTTACATTTGCACCTTTCATTCATATTATATCAACATTTTAAAGTGATGTCATATAAGAGCTAAATTTTTCATCTGGAGGTGTAGAGGGCGGTGGATGGTGTGTCACCCAAGTGAGATACCTGCCAAGCAGCAGACCACTGCAGACTTCTGACCAACACACAACAAGTGAAGAGATGTGGTTAACCCTGTTGCTAGGCATGACACATTCTTCAGATGTGATTGGTTGTCACAGACACACCCTCTTGTGAGCCTGCAAGGTGTGGACACCCAGTGGACATGAACTGCTGACTGTGAAAGTGTTGTCATTGTTAGTGTGATAATTTTATTTCTGGCATTGTAATGTTATTGTGTTGGGTGGGAAATGTGTGTGTATCTATAATGAGATCAACCCAATATCCCTGCACGATCTATTCTGTGGCATTTCATTAACTCACTTAAGCTTCTTAAAAATCCTCCTCCCTGCTCTTGACAGTTTTTCCCCTCAGGAGTTGAGCAGTTGTATGTGAATAACTTTTACTTTTACAAGGACCTAGTCTTAACTTTAAGGTGGAAATGTCACAATTCTAAGAATTTTCTTTTCAGTAGGAGCAACTCTTAACACCAGGAAGCTTTGTGAATACAACCCCAGGTCTTTTAGCCCCCAAACATGGGTGTTTTTCAGTGACCTGTCTCTGTTTTTCCAGCAGGGATAGTGTAAGGAAAAGCAATTGTTTTTTACTGAGACATCGCTGCTGGTATTTTAAGCCAAAACATAATCTTTTCCTAAACATAACCAACTGGTTTTTGTATCCGCTAACATCTGCTACATAATAACGTAATATAATGTGTCCATGGTTGGCAGAAATGTATAATGCCAACATTTTGTCAGGGGATTAGGTTGTTTTGGTGTGAGACAGACCCTCAACCCCAGCTTGTAAAGACAGTACATTCCTTCAGAAAGCTGGACTATGCTCACACTGTCTATTGAAATGCCTAAAAACCACTCTGTTTTCCTTCAGTGTTTTAAATAATGTAACAGTCTCTGCAGATTTGTACTCAGTTGTTTTGCACCCTGCTTTGTACACTCAGATGGCTCCTTCTTCAAACAAGACAACAATTTCAATGATTATAACTCTTGTCTGTTTGAGTATTTTTTCCTTTGTGTTGTTAGGTGTTGTGTTTTGTGGTTTGTCTTGTGCTTTTGTTTTCTGTTTCTCCTGGGAACCTCTTGAAAATGAGATGATGAAAACTTGAGGAATTAATCCTAATGCAGTGAATTTAATTTTATTTTAGACTTTGATGTTACATTGCTACTGTGCTTAAAAGGTTTTGGCTTACATGGTCATGTGACGAAGCCCCCTGTGAGTTTTGATTATACATGAACATGTTATTAGATCAAAGGAACAACAACAATTTATTGCCCTGCTTTCCATTACAGCCTTACAGTGATGCATCACCTGGCTGTTGCCTTCAGCGTGATGTGACTGGCATTCGGAAATGGACTGAAATGACATGCTCCACGTTCTACCCCCCAAATATTCATTAGTTTTAAAGATACTGCTGTTTTCTTTCCTGTGTAACTTTCCTGACTCACACACTGCCGTTTTTCACTCTCTCCCTCACTGCTTCCAGGAATCCTAAACACAGCCAACAGTGACAGCCTGTGAATGTTTCTCATCATCGTTCTCTCCTTCCTCTTGCAGGTGGTGAAGATGATGATCATAGTAGTGGTGACCTTTGCCCTCTGCTGGCTCCCCTTTCACGTCTACTTCATTGTGACGGGTCTAAACAAGCGTCTGAGCAGATGGAAGTACATCCAGCAGGTCTACCTGTCAGTGCTGTGGCTGGCAATGAGCTCCACCATGTACAACCCCATCATCTACTGCTGCCTCAACAGCAGGTGGGTAACAACAGCGTGGTGCTGACAATCTAAAAAAACTAAATATTTGATGTTGAACCTGGGCATACACTGAGCCCACTGTAGAAATTTTGTTTTGATCCAAAGCTCATGATTTATGTGTTCACACTGTACGGTCTGATCATCAAGCCACAACCTGTGCTCACACTATACATGTAAAATAGAAAATTGGCCTCTACGGACTGTTCCAGCTTTTGACAATTGCAAATAAAGATTCAGTTAAAAGTTCTGGGGCAGGTAGAAGTTTGTCTGCAAGCAGAGATACTGCTGAAAATAATGTAGAGAGAGACCTCCCAAGAAGAGCTTCAAGGTCCATTTATGCAAAAACAGATTTGTCCAAGTATTGATTCCCCCTCTCCCTGTCTCCCTCTTTTTTCTCACACTCACACACACACACGTTAGTGAGTTAGCAGCACCAACAAACCAGACTGAGTATAAGCTACACTGCACAATTGATTGAGTGATAAAAAGGCACTGACTTTGGGGAATCTGCTTCAACTGTGCGAGAGCCTGACGACAGCCAGCCAAAATATCTGATATGTGAGAAATTCATCTGAATATCTGACAGCCGGTCAGGAGCAGCTGATCGGGTTATGATCGGTCCTCACTCCACCCCAGTACACTGCACGGCAAACAAGGCCCGCCGAAGCTGAAATTCAGTTTGACTCTAAAATGAGTTGCAGGGCTCAAAAATCAGGCTCAAATCACACAGTGCATGTCCAGGTTATTTATTTTTTACATAGCAAAATGAAAACTACAACGGACTAGAAAACATAACAAAGAAAAACTCAAAAGAAAAAAGGAAAGGAAAAAAACTGCAAGACATACACACCCTCAGTATTAAAATGTTTCGGGATGTCAAATAGTCAGGTGTAAAAGGCCTCAGGTAAAGGTCAATTATAGGACAATTATTTACCTTTGAAATAGTCAGTGAATGGACCCCAAATGCTCCAAAATCTATTGGATGCTGCAAATTTATAGGACCGTATTTTCTCCATTTGTATGATAATAAGCATTTCATTGAGCCAGTTCTGGAAGCTAGGGGATGTAGGTGATTTCCAGCTGGTTAGATCCATCTTCTTGGCAGCTACAGTCCAGAGCATCAATGCTAATTGTTCCTCAGATGTGTAGTTCAAAGTCATCCCTGAGCATCCAAAGAGTGCCAGCTCTGGATCAGGGGGAATGTATGCCAGTGCCACAGAACCACTGAAATATTTTGCACCACTAATTGTGTAGATGAAGACAGAGCTATAAAAGGTGCGTCAAAGAGCCCTCTGCAACTTTACATCTGTCGCATAGTGGAGACAATGACAGATACATTTTGTTTAATTTGGTTTTTGAATAGTGGAGTCTGTGAGTGACTGTATTGAGTCAGTCATCAGTGCATGCCCAGTTTGAATGTGACCACAAAAGTGTAATTGATTTCGTTGTCACATCACATCACTGAGTGTAATTAAGTTCCATTATATGTTATACTAGAGGATACAAGTCAGGCATGAATTCATAATTTTAATATGACATGGCAAAGTGACCAATTTAGTAAGATTACTTGCTATTTTGTTTGTTTGTTTTGTTTCCTTACATTCTCTCCATTCATCCCTCTGGGTTTTTACTTTAACCATCGTCTTGGGTTTATTACAACACAAACGTACTGTAGCATCTTTCAAATGATGAAATTATTTTTTAACAATGACAGCTAAAATTACTTTTTATAGACTGAATATGACAATGTGACTGTAAGAACTGCCTCTTTTGTAGTAAGGCTATCACATCCCTGAGTCTACTTATAAAAACAGATTTTATTGTTTAAAAGAAATACATATTGCTTCTCTCAAGCATCTGAAGCCTCTTTGGAGTATGAATGAATACAGCCTCAGTGCATTCAGAGAAGGATCCGCAGCCAGGCTCTCAAGTACTGTTGGTTCCCCGTTGAGTACTCTCACAGTAAATACTCCACTTCAACACCAACTGACGTGCTTTTCATCACCGCACAAACATTTAGACGTGCATCAGTAACTGGCTTTCTAAAAGCTTCAGGGACACCTCAGCACAATCTCTTCTCAGCTGAGGAGCCAACCTTTTGGTACAGCACTGTGTACAGTGTATTCTGCTTCTGGTCTTATTAAAGGTCCAGTGTGTAGGATGTAGTGGCATCTAGGGGTGAGGTTGCAAAACTGCAACGTCTCCCATGTGGCAAGCGTCAAGGAGAACAATAGTGGCTGACACAAACATGCATATGGCCCTATCTGGAGCTAGTGTTTGCTTTGTCCATTCTGGTCTACTTTATGGAGGAGAACCATCTCTATATGTAAATGTAAATGTCTCATTATAAGGTAATAAAAACACAAGAATTATTATTTTCAGGTGATTGAACACTACTAGAACATGGTTATAGATATTTTATAAAATGTCTGCCTGCCCCTAAACCTTACACACAGGACCTTTAAATGAAAATATCTTTTTAAAAAACAACAACATTTATTCATTTTCCATTTTATTCTTTCTATATTTTCCTAACAATAACCTGCCTTGTGTTTTCCAACCATTCCCCTCTCCCTCTCGATGTGGCACCAGATTCCGAGCTGGCTTCAAGCGAGCGTTTCGTTGGTGCCCGTTCATCAAGGTATCCAGCTATGACGAGTTGGAGCTACGTTCCACTCGGCTTCACCCAACACGCCAGAGCAGCATGTACACGCTGTCTCGAATGGATACCACCGTCATGGTGGTTTATGACCCCACCGAGGGAGATGGCGGCGCCGGCGGTGGGTCCGGAAGGAAGCACTCCCTGTCGGCTAGGAAGAGGAGCTACATCACATCTCGCCACTCGGAAGTCTCTGGATGCAACGGTGGCGATGCAAAAACACAAAATGGAGGAGCTCCAAGCGCTCAGCCTGAGGAGTTTTCTTGAAGGGTGTTCTCGCAGACTGACACACACACATGTAAGAAAAGAACACACATAATACTCTGTACATACAAATGGTGCACAGGTCATCGCTTAATTTAGATGTAAAAGCATTTTATCGAAGCAGTTACTTTAACATGCAAAGAATGACCAAGTGGACACAGAGATTATTAATATTTTAGCTCAATGGATAATATTAAAGATATCCTGGAGTGTGGATGGATCACTGAGTGGGCTTACTGGGCACAGATGTGAAGTTCAAGGGGTCAGTTTAGAGTGAATGTTATTAGCAGTTATTATTTGAAACCCACACAGCTTAATCAAAAGTAGTGAAGCCTCTACTATGGTGTTTTTGTTTGTGTGTTTGTTTGCCCCATATCCTTTAATATTGGAGCCAGATTGTGATGCAAATATAATTTATTTTATGCTTGCTTCTTTTCCACTACATAATACAGCGGACAGTATTAGGCTACAGTGAAGCAACTTAAGTATGTTTCACAGCAGAATAGATATCGTGATATTATTTTGTATGTTTTTCTGTGGAGAGAGCTGTCACTGTGAGACTGGCTCAATTTGCGAGCAAAGTTTACACACAGGTCCCAAAAGTGTCATCATCACAATTAAAAAAGGACTGTGGTTTGTAAATTCCATATACTCTCTTTCATCCACATGCATGGCTCACAACTGTGGTGTTTGTTAGATGTTTAGGCATCAACCGGAGAGGAATTTATTTCATGTCGCAAACTGCAGCTTGGTGAAACAGGCCTCTGCTTTGGAAAAGATTCATACAGCCTTCCTTAAGTTCAGGGTTTGTTCTCAACTAATAGCATAACCATGAAGTCAGAGTTTACTTACAAAATAGCCTCCTAAAAAATCTGAATTGATGGCTAACAACTAGGGCTGGGATGGGTGGTGCTAATATAGGGGGGCCTTTACATGTCTGTGCCCCAGGAGCCCATTGTCTCATAATCCATCCATGCTCAGGAGCACCCTTAACAACATATGAAGTGAACAATGCTGAACTTGTTAAATAGTGTTAAAATATGCCTATCACAACTTTTTTCCATGACCAAGACAAGACGATGACGAGGGGATACTGACATCATTTAAAACAAACTGTGACTAAATCAACACGCAATATTGTTGACTAAAAAGACAAGAAGGAAATTTAGTTTGAAAGAAAGGACTTTATTGAAATCTTTTTCTTCTTTTCCTTTTTTTAAATTACAAAATGTCACAAAGCTCTGCCCACTCTCCTTTCAGCGCCCATTAACCAGCTGCTCAGACAGGTCACATTGCAACAGAGAGCTCCACATCCAGCTCACAATCTGCAGTGACATTTTTAGCATCTGGTCTATTTTCTCCATCAGCACTACACCAGCGGCACACAATGAGCACAGTCAACCTGTTCTCATTCCCAGGTCGTCAATACAGACGCTATGTCACACCTCTCAGTGTGTGATACCGATGCACAGGGCACTCTTTAGCATGTCATTACAGCTGAAACACATTGTAACACATGGTTAATGTTGTGAAACAGTCGAGATTAGGTTTGGGTAACAAAACTCCTTGGTTAGGATTAGACAAAACATGTTTGTGGTTAAAATGAGTACATTTGTTATGTAGAGTGTAAGTACGTCACTTCAGTTACATCATTGCCCAACAACCATACGTACATAACGCTACATTAAAACAGTAGGATGTAGGTACGTAAGTTACGTGACATTATGTGAAAAGCAGCACATACTTTTGGTTTCAAACGAGATACACATCGCCGTCTACTCTGTGAAAGTCATGTTTTGTTTGACCAATCTACCTCCCCTCTCTCCCATCCCATACAGCCTTTCTCGTTGAGTACTGCCATGGATGGGTTTACATTGGAGTTGGTTGAAAGCCTGGTGGCCTGGCTCATTGACATGTTAAAGGATGTCTTTGGCATCAATATCACACAGTGAGGGGCGTGATAAAGTGTCAGTATTTGAAAATTGCAGAATCAGAATGGGCTGGTACAGTAGGGACTTGGGACTTGGACTTTTTCCACCAAATTAGTGTATGTATACAGTTTTTAAATGCAGGAAACCCCACTGATAAATAATTTCTGGTGTGGTACATTCAACGCGACTGCTAGTTTTTAAACAGTAAAAAGCAGTATGGATGCCATTTAAAATGTTACAGTCATTGCTCCTTTTTATATCTCTTATTTATGCAGTCTCTCTTTAGAAATTGGTGCCAACTACATTTAAAAAAATGTTTGGACACTGCTTGGATGGAAACAGATGAAATATGTGACAGCCCATCATTACATCACACCAGCAAAGGAGCTAAAATTAGCGCATCCACCCAGGTGTTAAATTTCCGTCACTGCCGATCAAAGTCAATCAGAGCTTGAACCAATAAATATAGTAATTTGTTAAATACAAATGCTAGATGTTAGCAGGTGTTAGTGGGTTTCTTTGTCCAGTGGAAAAGGGGCTTTACTTATGTTGAAGTTAACAGTGACAACAACAAGGTTTTGTTCAGTAACATCTTCCAGAATATCAGAGCAGAACGTCTTCCAGGTCTGGATATATTTCTTTAAATTATATCATCATATTATATCAACACTAGAACAGAGTTGACCAGACCGAGTGGAATGTTTAATATAATCTGATGACTTTATAAGATTAAAATACCCAGAATTAAAGTCAACAAAAAACAGACTAAAACAGTATCAGGCTGACTAAATATAATTTAAAAAAAAAAAGGACAATTGACGTAAGACTAAGACCAGGACTACTTTTTTTTAATGTTAAAAAGCAGACAAACTTAACACTTCTAATACAGTATTATCATCTAAATTCAAAGTGCTACGCCTTAAGTTTTCTCCTTATCCAGTCCCTCTGCAATAATGAAACACTACTGTAAGTACCTGTTTCATTACAGAACATTCAGCTCTGATTGAGATTAGCATTTAAATACAGTCAGCACACTGCACACTTTCATGAAGGTCTGGGTCCCACGGTTCAAATGATTGACAATGAAACTAATCAGTTCCGCTTGTCGTTTTGCTGCTCTGAGTGAGAGATCATCTCACAATGGAGATAATCTGAAAACACGCCATGGTGATTGTAATTCTGTAAGTATGTCGTAGTTTCATTTCCATCTATAAGTATTAACTGCAAACTTTATGTGACGCAGAGAATTTACTCTGCAACTATTTGCCCCTGAAGCTATGAATGAGCGGCAGCCGAAAGTCACCGATGGAATGGCTGTTGTTGATTAAACTCCATTTGGCTCTGTATGTGGCTTTGAGTTTGGCTCTGCAAGTACTGAAATGGAGTTCGGCTTTCAGTTGTGTAATGGTTGGACATGCTGTGCCTGTAACTGGCATTAAGCCAGAGGCAAAATCCAGTGTACATTTGCGCACGCCAATAGACAGGCTGCTGGAGAATGGACAGACTAAAAGCAAACAAACTAATGAGAGCCTTGTGGGTCGATGGCTGTCATTTTTACAGTGATAAAAAAAAGCTGCACATTGAAGTGCAGCCTTTGTTCTACTGTATAGTGTTCTTTTAAATGCCTTCATACAAAGCAAAACAGATCTATCTCACACAGGCCCTACTCTGTATACTCTATACTCTCCTCCAATCATAAGCAAGCATGTGCCCACTGAAATTTGCATTAATGTAGCCAGCCAATCAGGATGTGCCTACCTGTATACATACGGAGCCTGCAGTATATAAGGCAGCATACACTGCAGTCTGCCATCCTTTTTAACTTCAATTTGCCTACCAATCATCTCTCTCCATGGATGGAGTCACCGTTTCAGGAGCTTTATCACTCCGTTGGCACACACTATGCAGAGAGCGGTGTTCAGCAGCCACCAGTCTGTGAGGCTTGCTGGGCGCTACCCAAGTTTAAATGCCAGCAGCGGTGGGATCATTTCAGATGTTCGACCTGAGGCTTCTCTGCGATGAGAGTGAGCCGGAGCTTGAGATGCATAACCCTCAGATCCTAATCCAACCGCCAGAATTCTGCTGCTGCCTTCGGCCATCCCCACTGAGACAACAACTTTGTTTGCAGATGATGATTACAACATTTTATCGGTGTCCCGCAGGAGTCCACAGCCGACATCTCTCTGCTGAGACTCCCCACAGTGGGTTGTGTTGGCCCCCGAGCATAATAGGCAGGTTGGCAGGAACCCTCTGATTGTGGTCCATGCACAGTCAAAGACATCTGTATGGTAGTGTCATGGTTTATGCCCTGCCTCTTCATACAGTTCTATCTCTTGGACATGTCAGGCTCTTCTTCAGAGTCTGTGCTCGCTGGAATGACGCAGGACTGTTAAAGGATTGGGTGTATGTCATGTGTGTTGCGCCTGACTCCACCTTCCTTAAACCTATGTGTACCCATGCTCCTCGATGACCAGGAAATGTGATATGCAGGGTGTCTCCTGCTTGTCTTTCAACCCCTGTGGATTAGGCTAAAGCTCCACCCAGTTCGGTTGCTTCTCACCTGGGCAGGCTGGGGCCCCCAGGTTCTCCATTGTAGCAACCAAGATTACAGAGAAGTAGGCGGGAAGCATTGAGTAACTTTTAGCCAGTCAGGATCAGTATGTGTCGATGCTATGTTGCGACAGGACGATAATTCATAGGGCTTCACCCACTGTATCCAGAGAGTCCATCAGAGGGCCGAGCCTGTGATCTGTCTGTTAGTCAATGACTTTACAGAAAGAAATAGCACTTCAAAATAAAAGCTCTGTGCAGGAAATTCACCATAGTTCAAAATTAGTTTTTAACAAACCTGACATGTTCACAAGTCACTTGTGGTCCATTCAAAATGGATCCATGACCCACTTTTGGACTGTGACCCACCATTTGGGATCCGCTACCACAGAGTCCAGTAGAAGGCTTTGCCTGTGCTAATAGAACTAGGGTTACAATATAATAACCTTCATTTTTGCCTTTTGCAGTCTTTGGTCTTTCTGTAAATTGTTCCAGCATGCTGTTATCCTGAGTTACATCTTTATTTAACTCCCCTGCTTGTGTGCGCATAAAGTGTTGAGACTGCCCCAGCAAATAGCTAGCCTGTGGCACGTTAGGTTTACAGTACGATAAGTGGAACCATACTGTGAAAGGATTATATGCTGTAAACCATTGGACCAGTGTATCCCCTCTCACTCTGTACACATCAACACACAGACATGACTCGTGGCTGGGAACTAAGCGTAACAATAGTTTTGTTTGACTGCTTTTATCAGTAGCCTAGCATTTTGTTGTGTTACTTTTTCACCAAACATACGTTCTTAAAAGACTTAAAATATTTAAAAAGATATATTTATATATACATATATATATAAAATGTCCTAATAGTTGCAGTAAAGATTTGACAGTGTGTGACGGGAAGTTATTATGTTTAACAAGTGGTAAAAGGTTCCAGGAAATTGACTCTGTCATGTGTGGAACGAAATGACATCTTAATTATTATTACCAACAGTTTTGAATGTTTGAAGACTTCATGAAAGTATTTACTTAAGAATGTGAAGAAAAACAAGTTGTGCATTTCAGTGTCATGTATTTTTGAGCTGTCATCTGATCATTATATTGAAGTTGGTTAAATGTTTGTATGTACTGCTAATCGATCTATTTTCATGTTTCTCTGTATAAATGTATGTGTTTTGTACGAATGTACAGTACAATGTGTGCCTCTATCTGTGTCAAGTGGTGACCATATTATTTGTTGTGTCTTTCAAGGATTATTAGTTAATTTCAACCTGAGCCTCATTTCTTAGCTCTGATGTCATAGAGTGCCCAAGGAATGATGTTTTTCTGTAGGCTGACATGGAAGTTAGCATCGCACTGATTCCCTCTCAAAAAGTCTAGGGGATTCTCTAATGGATTTTGGTTTACTGCTGAAAATAAGCTCTGTGACAAACGTTTATGATACACCACTTTCATGATTATTGAAGTCTAAATGCAGTCACCAGAAGTAAAAGCTAACATTAGACAGCACAGGAGAGCCAGCTCCTCAAGTCAACACTCAGCTGTCCATTAACATCTAAAGGAGAAGGGACATTCTCTCGAGGACAGCAATGTTCTCATCTTGGCCAGAGAGGAAAGATAGTTTGAAAGAGGCCATCTATGTCAAACTGGAATGCCCATCATTAAACAGAGGAGGTGACCTACGACACCACTTATCACCCACCTACAATGCAGTCTTGGGATCCCTCCCAAGACGACTTCACACCCATTCACACCTGGTAACCCTAACGACACATATGATGGCCAGGCGGGTCAACGACTCACATGTGACAAGTCCATTAGAACTGAAGAAGCCCCTTGGATGAGAGGCAAAATGTCTTCAAGAAATGCAAGCAAGTCCAGTTGCCTATGATATAGCACTTATGATTACCATGACCTGGATGAATGAGAATCTTCACCGAAACATTAGGCTATTTAAAAAAAAGAAACTAAACTATGGTTGCGTGACATAACCTCACCACCATAACAAGATCGTGAAACCACGTTTAGCACTGCTCTGTGCGATGACGTTCTGTGGTCTCATTTAGCCACTTGTTAGCAATCAACTTTTGAGGACACATAGAGGCTTCAGAGTTCACGAGTTGGGGGATTTCTTGATGCATTCTGTCATAGAACCAAACGTGAAAGTCTCTTAAGCTCGTGTTATCCACAGACCTTATTTCAGGCATCTAACCAAAAACCTATTAAAAAAAATCGACTTTGAGACGAGGGAACCGTGTGTAGTAACATGCTAACTCAGTTCCTGGTTTTAGGACTCATTCCTGTGGCACACTATTATTACACTACCTTATGTCCCCTATATTTTGCCAGAAGAACTAATTTCACCGCTCTAATTCAAAAACAAAACTCAGGTTGAAATAAACTACTGTACTATCCTTTAAACTACTAGTATAATATTATAATTGCTGGCAAATGACAATTATTTTAGTAATTTAAGATGAGGAATTGTAAGAACTCTTTGTTATTGATGATACTAAATGACTTTACAATTCTATATCATATTTCTTACAATGAGACCTCCAAAAGGTTTTTTGGTTTTTTTTTTGTTGCTTGGTCAGTGCTAATGTATTTGCTTAATGTGGCTTCACTGCAATGGTCTTATTTACTTTCTTTTCATGAGTGTTTACAAGTGACATGACATGCTTACGAAATGTAGCTGTGACTTGTTGCAAACGCAGTCAGTTTTAATGAGGAAAAAAAACTCAGCGACTGAGAAATAGTGTTTTGTTTTATGTTTGTTGTCAGAAACAATGCAGGCCGCGGTAATAATCCGCAACTTTTAAATATCTCAATTTTCTGTCATAGAGCATCATAGATTTGACCCCATGGAAGCAAACTGCATTCATGAAAGAGAGATGTAGACGTACTTTAAGTTCCACTTCCGACCACTCCTCATAATAATATGTAAGCATTTTGATGTTTATTACATCATCTTTATCTTGTTATCACAATGTTGTTGCCATAGCGACCTCTTCCCAGCTTGTTAAACATTTCACATATGCTGTTGTAAATACATGTGAACAGGAAGCTCTTACACTGAAAAACCCACAGCCATACAGATACTGGGAGCAGTTGCACAAAACACCTTAGTTCTCTCCTTAAGTATGACACTTAAGGCTTAATTTCTCCTTAGCTGAGGGACACAGTTGCACAGAATCCCTTAAAAGGTGTCCTTCAGAAAAACATTAACTCATTTACTGCATTGAAGGAGATTTTACAATGGTACAAGTTTCCACAGAGATTGTTTGTTTGCTTGGACTCACTTGTGATGCCTGTTATTGTCTGACAAAGTTGACTTATAGTTAGATGGTGAAAAAATGGCAGAAGAACAGAAGACAGAGGAGGAAAAGATTATACGTCTGGAGGAATGCACTCATAGAAAACACATACTACAAAGTAAATTTGATCAACAAATACCAGAAAACAGGAAATGATTGTAGGAAGAAACTGCAACAAAAATTAATTCAATTAAAGCTAGAGTGTAAAATCAAAAGCCTATCTCTCTTGGTCTCCTGGTCACAGAACTCTCTTCTCAGGGTGTGTTAGTTTTTTCATTTATTACCATAAACTCTGCAGTTGAGATAGAGTCAGACATACTTGTTGTTTTTTGTTGTTGTTGTTCTTGTTTGTTTGTTTTTCTTTTTTACCTTGTTTTGGTTGCTAAGATCTTTTGTGCAACAGTCTAGGGATTCCTAAAGTATAAGACAAAAACAAGGATAAAACCATAAATACATAAGTGCAAATTTTAAGGAGAAGACAAAGATGTTTGTGCAACTAATTTTATTTTGAAGAAAACCTGAAAATCTTAACCTAAGGTGTTTTGTGCAACCGCTCCCAGATCTTATATTAGCCATTATTGTCTTGGTATGAGCAGTAAAAATGTTGTTGCTGACAAGACAAAAATAATGCACTCCTAAGGAAAAGAAACTGATTAATTTCCATGATTAAAAACACACCAAAAAATGTACGTATAATCTTAAAGATGAATCTCTCTGTAGACATGGTCACTGTACAGCACAGACTGTAATTCTGTCATTCTCTTCATTTCAGTCAGCAGCAGAACAACAACCCATGCTTATTAATTTTTTTGTTTAGAAGCTGCTGTCAGACCATTGAAATGCAGTACAATGACCACTCATCACCAAAAGAGTCACCAAAATTGAGATTAACTCAAATGTTGCGGATTATAACATTAAATTGACCTTAATTTAAGTGTCAACATGTGTTGTTGTCTCTGTCTTGCTATAAAAAATGGTTAATAAATTAAAATTCATACTGTAAAACAGAGTGTGAACACTGGAGCAGAGTCAGTACCAGAATTTTATACATCAACTGTTTCATTATAGTGGACAATCTGTGAGGGAACCAACTGGAGTTTCACACTAAACCAAAAAGCTTTCTAAACCTCCACAATCCACAGATTACAGCAGCAGACATCTGAATGAACAACCCTGTTAAGAGCTATTTTTATGCCTCCACGCCAACGACAGCCACGGCCAAAAGCATTATGTTTCTGGGTTGCCCATCCATCCGTTTGTCTGTTCTTCTGTCTGCCCCATTCTTGTGAACCCGATATTTGAAAAACGAAACATCCACTTTGAGTCAAGGATGAACTAATTAGAATTTGGTGGTTAAAGGTCATGGTCACTGTGACTGTCATTCTCGTGAACGCAATATCTCAAGAAGGCCTTGAGGGAGTTTCCTCAGATTTGGCACAAGCTTCCACTTGGGCTCAAGAATGAACTGATTAGAATTTGGTGGTTAAAGGTCAAAGGTCAAGGTCACTGTGACCTCTGAAAACATGTTTTTGGCCATAACTTGGGAATTTTTATGTTAATTGTGACAAAATTTCACACAAATGTCTAATAGGATAAAATGATGAGGTGATTATTGAAAAATAGACCAGCGATGCAAAAATAGAGCTGAGTAGAGTGGTGCCCGCACAAGCAAGCACGGCTTCTGTGTTCAGTGTAGCAGCTTCAATCAATTATAATGGTCCCATGACCCGTGTATTTTGGCCGTGAGTCAATGCACTGATCTGATACTAGTAATTTGTTAATTACCTTTAAAGTAGTTTCACTCCCGGATAAAACAACAGTTTTTCTGGAAATCAATTCTTCGTCTTTGCAGCTCTAAAGCAGTAGTCTACAGCCAGTTGCACTTTGTATCCACTGGTAACACCTGTTTTAGAGCTGCGAAGAAGAATTGATTTCCAATAAACAGTGCAACATTACCAGTTAGCAAAATTTAAAACGATCATAAAACCAAGTTCTAAGGCATTCATCTTCTGTATATTTGTTCATGATTTACAAATGGTTTAACCTGAGCAATGCCATATAACGATAGCAATCGTTTCTTTACAGGGTTAGTAGCAACTGCTAATTGGGGCCCAAGCACCACGCAGTGCAAGGACCCTATTGAAATGCAAGGAAGATTATTCTTCCTCCAAATTAATTGCCTTTTTGGGGCCTTAACATACTCGAAAAGTCATGAAACTTTGCACATACAGTACAGGCCAAAAGTTTGGACACACCTTCTCATTCAATGCATTTTCTTTATTTTCATGACTATTTACATTGTAGATTCTCACTGAAGGCATCAAAACTATGAATGAACACATGTGGAGTTATGTACTTAACAAAAAAATGTGAAATAACTGAAAACATGTTTTATATTCTAGTTTCTTCAAAATAGCCACCCTTTGCTCTGATTACTGCTTTGCACACTCTTGGCATTCTCTCCATGAGCTTCAAGAGGTAGTCACCTGAAATGGTTTCCACTTCACAGGTGTGCCTTATCAGGGTTAATTAGTGGAATTTCTTGCTTTATCAATGGGGTTGGGACCATCAGTTGTGTTGTGCAGAAGTCAGGTTAATACACAGCCGACAGCCCTATTGGACAACTGTTAAAATTCATATTATGGCAAGAACCAATCAGCTAACTAAAGAAAAACGAGTGGCCATCATTACTTTAAGAAATGAAGGTCAGTCAGTCCGGAAAATTGCAAAAACTTTAAATGTGTCCCCAAGTGGAGTCGCAAAAACCATCAAGCGCTACAACGAAACTGGCACACATGAGGACCGACCCAGGAAAGGAAGACCAAGAGTCACCTCTGCTTCTGAGGATAAGTTCATCCGAGTCACCAGCCTCAGAAATCGCAAGTTAACAGCAGCTCAGATCAGAGACCAGATGAATGCCACACAGAGTTCTAGCAGCAGACCCATCTCTAGAACAACTGTTAAGAGGAGACTGCGCCAATCAGGCCTTCATGGTCAAATAGCTGCTAGGAAACCACTGCTAAGGAGAGGCAACAAGCAGAAGAGATTTGTTTGGGCCAAGAAACACAAGGAATGGACATTAGACCAGTGGAAATCTGTGCTTTGGTCTGATGAGTCCAAATTTGAGATCTTTGGTTCCAACCGCCGTGTCTTTGTGAGACGCAGAAAAGGTGAACGGATGGATTCCACATGCCTGGTTCCCACTGTGAAGCATGGAGGAGGAGGTGTGATGGTGTGGGGGTGTTTTGCTGGTGACACTGTTGGGGATTTATTCAAAATTGAAGGCACACTGAACCAGCATGGCTACCACAGCATCCTGCAGCGACATGCCATCCCATCCGGTTTGCGTTTAGTTGGACGATCATTTATTTTTCAACAGGACAATGACCCCAAACACACCTCCAGGCTGTGTAAGGGCTATTTGACCAAGAAGGAGAGTGATGGAGTGCTGCGGCAGATGACCTGGCCTCCACAGTCACCGGACCTGAACCCAATCGAGATGGTTTGGGGTGAGCTGGACCGCAGAGTGAAGGCAAAGGGGCCA